TGGTTTTTTTTTTTTTTTTTTTTAACTTTTTCATTTATTTACTTATTATTTTACTCGTTTCGCTCGTTTCGCTCGTTTCGCTCGTTTCGGTGGTTTCGTTTCGCTCATTTCGGTGGTTTCGGTGGTTTCGGTAGTTTCGGTCGTTTCGTTTCGGTCGTTTCGTTGCGTTGTTTCGGGTTTTAGGGCATGCCCTGGCAAATACTGATTACTCAAAATATTCAAGCTTTGAAGATTTTTATTACGTGTACCGTGGAGCTTGATCAAAGAAAACAAAAATATACCAAAATTTCTTAAATTTGGGGTTCAAGAGTAAGTTAGAGTAGCTTGCTAAGTTAATTATTTAACTATATTTTGACCGCTATGCAATAAACAAATTAAGAATTTGCCCGCAACGCTGTCTTGTAACCAACAAGTTTTATGGTAGGTAATTACATTGCGAATTAAACTTAACCTTGCATGTAACTTCTATACGTAAATTTCTGTACTATAAACTTAACTACAGGCTTATTTACTAAACAACGACTACAGCAACCTTTTCAAGAATTCTCTTTAATATAACTGTAAGGAGATTTAAAAAAAAACCAGCAACTCAAATTAAATCGTCCTGGCCTTGGACTTTGCACTCAGATCACCAGGCAGCGACACAATTATTATTTCATCATGACAAGAACTGAACTCCGTGAAGCGCACGGATATTTCAACAGATTTTTTATTTAAAATTCATACAGGAGCGAAATATTCATATTCTTACAGTTTTCGGTTGAAAAGAGTCGGAACTATTAAAACATTACGCAGTTGAACAGAATTCATAGGTCACAACCTGTAAGCATTCGAGACTTGATAAAATTGGTCGCTTAGGCTAACAGTTGAGGTGCATGTCAAGTAAAAAAAGTTTGTATATGACAAGCATAATAATAGTTCTAACCATAACTTCTGAGGAAGTTGCTCTTCTGTACCAATTGCTAAAAGAAGCCAAAAGATACAACTTCCCATTCCTACGAGTTGCAATAATCAACATCTTCTCCGACTGTTATTTGGTGAGAATGATTGAAGTTGTCCGGATAGCAAAATCGATCGAGTAAATGACCCTCTTCGGTTTCCCGCTGCACGTAAAACTTTACGAAAGACCAAGAATTGAAATCCCTGAAGCTTAACCAAAATCAACGACAAGCATTCTACTGTTAACCCAAACGCATGTGCATTCTGTCATTGACTAGGCTACTCAGGGCCGTTCGTCTGGAATACGTCACCGAAATCAATTGACCACGCAGGCCTGAGAGAAAGCCGTACAGGAACTAAAATTTTGTCAGATCTTTTTTCCAGTAGTGTTATGGCTGCATTCGCATCTATCATCATGTCTACATTAAATTGCTACTGTTGGACATCTATTACCATGGAATTCATTTACTTGAGCCGAGTATTACGTCCGCTGAACATATTCAGCAATTATAATACCGTGCTAGACAAAAACAAATGTCAGCGAGAGGGATTTCCTTGAATGACTCCACTCTTTAATACTGTAATACACCATCTGGTGGTGTAATCAGTATCAATCCACTTTAGTTCTCAGATGTACTTTTGTCAGATATAAATTTTCAAACGATTATTTTATACATGGCGTCCTCGCGCTCATGGAATTGCAAGAAAACTACAGCGAAGTTATGAAAAACAATATAAACAACCGCTGTTTATCCTCAGCAAAAATAAAAGAAAAAAAAAAACAGAAAAAAGAAAAAAAAGCCCACTGGAACGGATTTGAACCAGTGACCGCGGGACGGTAAACCCATACTGCATTCCTGTGTCTTAACAACTGAGCTATATAGTAGAATGTTACTGAAATATGCAATCATTTAGACTTTAACAATAGCGCGTAACTATTTATTTACTTATGAATGATTTTGCATGATATCCCATATGACAGTTGTTTGTCAATCCTATGGCAAATGATTAAAGTAAAATATGATCTTTGCCATAATGAAGATACAGGTTGGTCAGAACTGAGTATACTTGTTAGAAAAACCAGATGTGATAAATTCACAAAGTTATGCGAATGACAGGGGAAGTGCATATGTCGTTTCCCTTATCCATACCCCCGAATAAAATATGACCAAATCAGCGCAAATAGGAAAATAAGATCAGCGCTTAATACTTCAAGTCTTAAGCGTGGTGTACTTCTCTATGAATACCAACTGAACTGGTTGGCTTATAGAATATGTTTGCTTTAATATTTTTTCATATATTTGTCATGTGGGTGGTCTGTCTGAGTATAGGGTCTATGACTCTTTTACGGACCTACCTTATGGCATTTCTGTTTTTGTTAATTTGTACATTAAATGGATATCATTAAATTGTAATCAATCAATAAATAAATTATGGACACGAACAATGTGCGTTAACGTACTCATCTTTCTTCGATCACTAAAACAGAAAACGTCAGATACTCTGTCTAAGCGTCAAGAAAAAGGAAGACTCCAGCACTACAAAGGAGACCTACTGACTAAGCCTGCAATGATGAGGTACATGGAGAAATGCTGCAGATATGCATGGAAACTGGTGTGTCAGACGCCACCGTACGCGATAGAAGGGAATCATAGTTTACGAAAAAGTGTCTTCGACCCAAATATTCACCAGCTTAGCCGGGAATATGCGCCTGCCGAGCACACTGGCTCGGGATACATTCAACTTGTACTTTGGCCCGGTTTATTTGACGGATCGTCCGGGAGAGTAATTCGAAAGACTGAAGTGCTGTTACAAAGCCCGTGCCAGTAACTTTGCATATTTACCAGACAAACTATCCAAACTCGGTGGATAACCGAAAAATATTATATCCATCGAATTCTTTTATTTACTAGTCGGATAGATGATAGGGCACATGTGCACGTTGGACTTTAAATCTTACTAGAGAGGCGTTTTGATTGCGCTGATTGGGCATGAATATAGATTTTTCCTTGATTATCAAATATGGAACATTGCGTAGTTAGAAAATCTGTCAAAATTGGGTATCGAAAAGAGTCGGGATCAGATCTCTGCCATACAGGACTCTAATTTTCTCTAAGCATTTTCATCATCGGTCATTTTCCTAATTCCTTAAGCTCGTAGAAAGCAACAAAGTTTCGTCATAAGTATGAAGTTAAACTCACTGATTTGTTATTCGGTTCGTATTAACACTTGAAAATGGTGGTATTAATTTTGTGCTTTTTGTTTCTAAACTACAGATAAGCAAAAGTTTATTTTATAATGCTGGTATAACATAGAAAACTATTCGGCATTCCAGCCATTTGACTGTAATCTCTATCGGCATTAATAAAATTGACAAAAGAAGCTCTTCTGACATTTTTTGGAGTGGTATGATACGGAATTTAGGATGGTAAAATTCCATGCGCGAGCAGACTCGTCTTTAGAAGGCCCTAAGCATGGGCTATCATAGCTCAACAACAGATTAAATTTTCTTTGTTCTTTTTAGTCAAATTGATCGAATGGCACAGTTTGGAGGGCATCGTCAGACGATAGCATCCTAGAGTAATGGGTTAATAGCAAATTATGGGGCTCCAAAAATGGCTGCCTACTCTATTGTGATCAAAAGAATTGGTAGGTGATGGGGCCAAAAACAGTTGAAACGACAGGAAAGAACTGAAAACTTTCGAAAGCATTGCAAATAAGACCAAAAAAGAAACTATGTGTCCAAACGTTTCAGTTCTACACAGCCCAGATCTTACCACGCCGGCTGTTACAATTTACTGCGAAAATGCGCACCAAAAGCTGAAACCCGTGTTTTGTTTGATAATAAGACCGCTTTCATTTCGACCACACTCTTGGCGCGCTGAGGAAAAATATCTTAACTCCCATTTTGTGGCTTTTAGATCTCAATTTAATAAAAACAACAACAACAACTCAAAACATAACTTTCTTGTTTTCCATGACTTTATTCTTTTTCAGAGTAGCAAAATTTTTTCAGAGACTTTGACAGTCAGGATTAAGATAGCATCAATGAATCGATTTATTTTTAACCAGAAAGGCCATATATTATATTTAAAAAAGAAAAAAAAGATATTTTTGTGGTTCACGATTTCATCTGGACGTGGGGATCCTTTTTTTTAAATAACTGGTATTTTAACAACACAGGAGAAAAGAGAACATGATTTGAAGCGAAGTGAAAAAATACATTTTGGTTTAAAGAGCTTTATAAATCTCCATCTTCTTCAGTATCTACGGGTCTTCCGTAGCCTCGGCGTCGTTAGTAACTTCAAGGTCTTCGGTAACTGTCTGGTCTTTGGCTATTTCCAGGTCTTCGACCACTTTCCGATCATCCTCGGATACAGCGTTCGGCTCTTTTTCGGCTCCATCCTGGACATCATTCGAGAATGACACTTTTCTGGTTTGCTTGGGTCTGGTCCTCTTGCGCTTTGGCTTCCTAGGATAAGCTTCGGACGTCTGCATCATGCTCATTTGTGGACCAAAAGACATAAGCTGTGACTGAGCAAACCCTTGCGCCCACATTCCAGACATTGCTTGGGTTGAATAGTTCATCCGGGGACCTCCCAGGCGCATCTGCAGGTTTGACTGCATCAATCTACTCTGGCCAGGGTAGTTCAGTTGTAAGGGCACAAATGATTGATGATTGGTCAGCACGTTTGTGGCGTCCATCGGCTGAGATTGCTCTTCTCCCGCAAACATATCCATCGATTGAAACTCCATTTCCTCCTCACCATATTTGGTCTTCCTTCTACACAGACAGCATATAGTAACGATAGAAATCAACACAAAACCACCAAGAGCACTGGACGCTGCTATTAGTGTCTTCATATCGAGCTTTAAGCCAAGAATCGTGAAAATTTTTCGATCTTTTGCCTTTGTTCTTCTTCCTTTATGTGGAAGAAGGAAAGGATTTCTTCGCCCCAGCACTCCACCATAGCATTTCCGGTCGGTCTTACAGCTTGGGGTCTTCAGAAGCGAGCCGTCCGTCTTTTTATAACACCAGAAACATCCGAATACCAAGTTGCAGTCATTTTCCTTCTTGTAACCTTCGCAATGTACACTGAAGCACTTCCCAAGGTCATCTGGATGCTCTTTAAGGGGAGCGTGCGCAGCGACAGGTGGTGAAGGCTGTGCGCATACTGGAATATCACTAGGAAGAAAAATCTATAATGAGAATCCCGGGAGAAAAGTTGGGTGGGGGTGCGCGGCCCACTTCCCAAAACCCTTACCCTATTTATGACCAAAATCTGCGTTTTTCGCTACACTATTTATGACCTGACCAAAAATTCGATAGCCTATTTAATAAAGCTGCGGCTGACACAGTTGGCCTAAACATAAGTTATGGAGGGCTTTTGTTGACGGTCTTATTGATAATGATGAAAAACTAGCTTCTTCTAAGAAATATACCCTTTTCAAGACCAGAGTGCAAAAAATCCTATCCTATTTCTTACCGAAATGGCCAAAATCGATACTCTATTTATGACCAAAACGGCTGAAAAACCCTACCTTTTAGGGCCGCACATACCTATATAACCCATATAAGGGAGTGCACCCTTCCCCCCTCCCCCCCTCCCCCCGAGGGCGAGAATCGCTGATTCAAAGTTTGGTTCAATTTTGCTAGAGCTGTCACGAAAAGACAAGTAGTGGATCAAATCAGTAGCCTTCCTTGCAAAAATATAAATGTTAAAGTCCCAATTTAATACAATTGTAAATTACAAGTAACCACACCACTCAACCAAAGGCGCAAAACTTTAGATTTAAAGACGAGTGCGAGATCGAGTAGGAGAGCGACTTTTTCAATTCTAGTTTGCACATCATCACGTCACATACCCATCAGCTACTCTCTCTGTCTAAAACCAACATGAAAATCGAGAGCCCTGGAGAGGTCTCTGGTTTGAAATTGGAAAACCGTACTCGTACTTAATCTCATACTCGCAGTCCAATCAAAATCCTTACTGTTAATACCATGGAAGTTTCATTGCCAAAACTTAAACCCTTGGGGATAAGGGAAAGATACTATCTCTTCTCTACTGTCCAGTAAACAAAGCTGAGCCTACAGATCAGAGGTGCGTTCTAAAGCAGGACCAACTGAACTACTTACCTCTCCCCAGTGAGGTTTGCACTGCAGAAGTTATATTCCAAGCGACTTTTACATGGACATTCACAAGCATTCTTTTCATCCGAGGTGCAAGTGTCGTGGCATGGGCACGAGGCTCGATTAGAGAAGCAGTCAGGGCTCTTTGTTACAATCACAAACACGTTTGTGCCAGGAACCTTGATTATCGCGTAAGAGTCACAAGTTGGCTGTCTGGTTTTCTCACTTCTGTGCATGTCTTTGTCCATCATGATCTGGAAACAAAAGAAGTGAAAAAATTGGTAAAGGCTGCTGCACGCTAGTCGATTTTCTGTCGTGGAACTGTAGATTTTTTTGTCGGAATCAAATCGGGTTAAAATTTGTCGGGACATCAGCTTGCCGTGCACTAGCCGATTTTTTGTCGTGACAAACCGCGTTGAGGCTTTGGGCCGACTCATCCAAAATCAAGATGGCACCTATTCAACCAACGTGACTCTCGTGACATTTCCTGATTGGTTGAGGCGCGCGCGAGCCCCGAAGAATTGTCTTGGTCCACCGCACACTAGCCGACAAGGCCCGACAATACGTTTTGAGATCTAGCACTGTCAGATATCGCCCGACAAGTCCCGATCTTGTCGTAGATTTGTCTGAATTCACCGCACCCTAGCCAACAAGTGAAGATTTTTTGTCGGCCGACAAAAAATCGGCTAGAGTGCGGCGGCCTTAAGGCTCCCCGGCGGTAACTCAAGACAATAGAGAACTTAAGCAAACCACGACGGCAACGGCAACGATAACGCCCCGAAAAGAAAAGGCTTAATGAGGAAAACAATGGTTGTGCATGTGCGTTTTAAATCTTTGTACATTTCTTTGCCGTCATCTGCAAAACAACAACGTGAAATGACTAAGTTCTGCGTATTTGGGGAAACGCCAACGACTGTGGGTAATGAACGCTGTGGAATTCATCGTAGGAAAAAAGATGGCGGATGTACATTTTACCACAAGGCCTTGCGAACCTAACACAGCCTAAAAGGTACAAAGAAAGCCAATATTTTACAATATATGTCCCTGTACTAAGGACATTAAGTAGCCTAAGTTTGAAGATTGTATAACGTTTCTGTGCGTTTTTATGAACGTTGTTAAGGTTTTAGTGCGCTAAGAACTATGGGTAAATGTACCAGTCGCCATCTTTTTTCCTACGGTGGATTGAATGCTGACATTTCATATTAAGCTTAGGCAAGTTCTGAGACCAATAGAGGCTCTGAACAGATATCTGGACATTTGCAAAATTCGAGGGTAAAATATAAATTTGTTTTTTTACTAGGCGTTATCCTCAGGGTCGCGGTGGTCATTGCTTAAGTTCTCTAAAATTTAAAGAGAAAGCCACATCAGCCTGAGCTGGTTTTCATGTAGGTCCTCTATCCTGGTAGAACTGGAATTTGGAGATGTTGGTTTTAATGAAGGGCAGAAAACCAGAGAGCTCGGAGAAAAACACTCCGAGAAAGGCGAGAGCAAACAACAAACGCAGCCCACGTATGGCACCTTGCCGGAATCCAACCCGGGTCACATTGGTGGGAGACGCGCGCGACCAGTCCATCTTATGATTTTTTTGCATCTGAAGTTAGTATACTGGGGACCAGGGAAACTGCAGAAAACAAGCTACCTCGTAGAATCTCTGTAGCTTCAAAAGGTTAAAATTCTGGCATTCCCGTCTGACCATCACTCCACTTCTGATCATGCCACGCGCAATTACAGCGTCTACCACAGTGATGTGTTTATTCAAAACCTTGCTGGAGTCATTGTACGCGTTATCAAAGTTTGGATGATAGACAATATAACCACTCGAATCCACGAGAAAGCAGTGCAGCTTATTGCCAGAACCCAAACATCGTTTCCCGATGTGTTTTCTCAACATGGCGCCGAAGTTTGAGACAGTTAGGTCAGCACCGATGACTCCAAAGAGGTTTTTCTTGCCATATGCCGTTTTTAGTGATTGACTGATCGACACGATGAAGCCCGCTCCCAAAGGATCGAGATATGGAGCTGTTAATGACGCTGAACCTTCATTGGCAACGGCGCGAATAAACCTAAAAAAGATTGAATGAATTTGTATAAAACATACATAAGTCAAGTGATGAAAGAGTACNGGCTCCATCCTGGACATCATTCGAGAATGACACTTTTCTGGTTTGCTTGGGTCTGGTCCTCTTGCGCTTTGGCTTCCTAGGATAAGCTTCGGACGTCTGCATCATGCTCATTTGTGGACCAAAAGACATAAGCTGTGACTGAGCAAACCCTTGCGCCCACATTCCAGACATTGCTTGGGTTGAATAGTTCATCCGGGGACCTCCCAGGCGCATCTGCAGGTTTGACTGCATCAATCTACTCTGGCCAGGGTAGTTCAGTTGTAAGGGCACAAATGATTGATGATTGGTCAGCACGTTTGTGGCGTCCATCGGCTGAGATTGCTCTTCTCCCGCAAACATATCCATCGATTGAAACTCCATTTCCTCCTCACCATATTTGGTCTTCCTTCTACACAGACAGCATATAGTAACGATAGAAATCAACACAAAACCACCAAGAGCACTGGACGCTGCTATTAGTGTCTTCATATCGAGCTTTAAGCCAAGAATCGTGAAAATTTTTCGATCTTTTGCCTTTGTTCTTCTTCCTTTATGTGGAAGAAGGAAAGGATTTCTTCGCCCCAGCACTCCACCATAGCATTTCCGGTCGGTCTTACAGCTTGGGGTCTTCAGAAGCGAGCCGTCCGTCTTTTTATAACACCAGAAACATCCGAATACCAAGTTGCAGTCATTTTCCTTCTTGTAACCTTCGCAATGTACACTGAAGCACTTCCCAAGGTCATCTGGATGCTCTTTAAGGGGAGCGTGCGCAGCGACAGGTGGTGAAGGCTGTGCGCATACTGGAATATCACTAGGAAGAAAAATCTATAATGAGAATCCCGGGAGAAAAGTTGGGTGGGGGTGCGCGGCCCACTTCCCAAAACCCTTACCCTATTTATGACCAAAATCTGCGTTTTTCGCTACACTATTTATGACCTGACCAAAAATTCGATAGCCTATTTAATAAAGCTGCGGCTGACACAGTTGGCCTAAACATAAGTTATGGAGGGCTTTTGTTGACGGTCTTATTGATAATGATGAAAAACTAGCTTCTTCTAAGAAATATACCCTTTTCAAGACCAGAGTGCAAAAAATCCTATCCTATTTCTTACCGAAATGGCCAAAATCGATACTCTATTTATGACCAAAACGGCTGAAAAACCCTACCTTTTAGGGCCGCACATACCTATATAACCCATATAAGGGAGTGCACCCTTCCCCCCTCCCCCCCTCCCCCCGAGGGCGAGAATCGCTGATTCAAAGTTTGGTTCAATTTTGCTAGAGCTGTCACGAAAAGACAAGTAGTGGATCAAATCAGTAGCCTTCCTTGCAAAAATATAAATGTTAAAGTCCCAATTTAATACAATTGTAAATTACAAGTAACCACACCACTCAACCAAAGGCGCAAAACTTTAGATTTAAAGACGAGTGCGAGATCGAGTAGGAGAGCGACTTTTTCAATTCTAGTTTGCACATCATCACGTCACATACCCATCAGCTACTCTCTCTGTCTAAAACCAACATGAAAATCGAGAGCCCTGGAGAGGTCTCTGGTTTGAAATTGGAAAACCGTACTCGTACTTAATCTCATACTCGCAGTCCAATCAAAATCCTTACTGTTAATACCATGGAAGTTTCATTGCCAAAACTTAAACCCTTGGGGATAAGGGAAAGATACTATCTCTTCTCTACTGTCCAGTAAACAAAGCTGAGCCTACAGATCAGAGGTGCGTTCTAAAGCAGGACCAACTGAACTACTTACCTCTCCCCAGTGAGGTTTGCACTGCAGAAGTTATATTCCAAGCGACTTTTACATGGACATTCACAAGCATTCTTTTCATCCGAGGTGCAAGTGTCGTGGCATGGGCACGAGGCTCGATTAGAGAAGCAGTCAGGGCTCTTTGTTACAATCACAAACACGTTTGTGCCAGGAACCTTGATTATCGCGTAAGAGTCACAAGTTGGCTGTCTGGTTTTCTCACTTCTGTGCATGTCTTTGTCCATCATGATCTGGAAACAAAAGAAGTGAAAAAATTGGTAAAGGCTGCTGCACGCTAGTCGATTTTCTGTCGTGGAACTGTAGATTTTTTTGTCGGAATCAAATCGGGTTAAAATTTGTCGGGACATCAGCTTGCCGTGCACTAGCCGATTTTTTGTCGTGACAAACCGCGTTGAGGCTTTGGGCCGACTCATCCAAAATCAAGATGGCACCTATTCAACCAACGTGACTCTCGTGACATTTCCTGATTGGTTGAGGCGCGCGCGAGCCCCGAAGAATTGTCTTGGTCCACCGCACACTAGCCGACAAGGCCCGACAATACGTTTTGAGATCTAGCACTGTCAGATATCGCCCGACAAGTCCCGATCTTGTCGTAGATTTGTCTGAATTCACCGCACCCTAGCCAACAAGTGAAGATTTTTTGTCGGCCGACAAAAAATCGGCTAGAGTGCGGCGGCCTTAAGGCTCCCCGGCGGTAACTCAAGACAATAGAGAACTTAAGCAAACCACGACGGCAACGGCAACGATAACGCCCCGAAAAGAAAAGGCTTAATGAGGAAAACAATGGTTGTGCATGTGCGTTTTAAATCTTTGTACATTTCTTTGCCGTCATCTGCAAAACAACAACGTGAAATGACTAAGTTCTGCGTATTTGGGGAAACGCCAACGACTGTGGGTAATGAACGCTGTGGAATTCATCGTAGGAAAAAAGATGGCGGATGTACATTTTACCACAAGGCCTTGCGAACCTAACACAGCCTAAAAGGTACAAAGAAAGCCAATATTTTACAATATATGTCCCTGTACTAAGGACATTAAGTAGCCTAAGTTTGAAGATTGTATAACGTTTCTGTGCGTTTTTATGAACGTTGTTAAGGTTTTAGTGCGCTAAGAACTATGGGTAAATGTACCAGTCGCCATCTTTTTTCCTACGGTGGATTGAATGCTGACATTTCATATTAAGCTTAGGCAAGTTCTGAGACCAATAGAGGCTCTGAACAGATATCTGGACATTTGCAAAATTCGAGGGTAAAATATAAATTTGTTTTTTTACTAGGCGTTATCCTCAGGGTCGCGGTGGTCATTGCTTAAGTTCTCTAAAATTTAAAGAGAAAGCCACATCAGCCTGAGCTGGTTTTCATGTAGGTCCTCTATCCTGGTAGAACTGGAATTTGGAGATGTTGGTTTTAATGAAGGGCAGAAAACCAGAGAGCTCGGAGAAAAACACTCCGAGAAAGGCGAGAGCAAACAACAAACGCAGCCCACGTATGGCACCTTGCCGGAATCCAACCCGGGTCACATTGGTGGGAGACGCGCGCGACCAGTCCATCTTATGATTTTTTTGCATCTGAAGTTAGTATACTGGGGACCAGGGAAACTGCAGAAAACAAGCTACCTCGTAGAATCTCTGTAGCTTCAAAAGGTTAAAATTCTGGCATTCCCGTCTGACCATCACTCCACTTCTGATCATGCCACGCGCAATTACAGCGTCTACCACAGTGATGTGTTTATTCAAAACCTTGCTGGAGTCATTGTACGCGTTATCAAAGTTTGGATGATAGACAATATAACCACTCGAATCCACGAGAAAGCAGTGCAGCTTATTGCCAGAACCCAAACATCGTTTCCCGATGTGTTTTCTCAACATGGCGCCGAAGTTTGAGACAGTTAGGTCAGCACCGATGACTCCAAAGAGGTTTTTCTTGCCATATGCCGTTTTTAGTGATTGACTGATCGACACGATGAAGCCCGCTCCCAAAGGATCGAGATATGGAGCTGTTAATGACGCTGAACCTTCATTGGCAACGGCGCGAATAAACCTAAAAAAGATTGAATGAATTTGTATAAAACATACATAAGTCAAGTGATGAAAGAGTACTTGACACAAAAATATATTCATCCTCCCCAGAGTCAGAAGCGATCTCGGGAAAAGAAAAGTAGTTAATTAGCTAAGACCTTATTTCCTCCTTTCAGAGAAACAAATCTGGATATTTTTCACTGCTGTTGATTCTACTGCTGCTACTTCCACCGTAAACATTCATACACAGCTGCTGTTGATGCCATTGCTGCTGATGATGATGAAATGCTGCTGCTGCCGCTGCTGCTCCTTCCCAGGCTACTTCAATACAACTACTATGCTCCTGCTGTTGTCGCAAATGCTACTACTACCGCTGCAATAATGCACTGCTGCTGCTTTTACTACCGCTGCTGCAGATGAACTGCTGTGGCTGTTTCCGATGCAGCTACTATTACCATCACTGCTGCTCCTGTCGCTACTTCAGTACAACTACTATGCTTCTCCTACTGCTGCTACTAATGCTACTACTACTGCTGCTGTTGCATAATAGATCAAAGCTTACCACGGTCGAGAGATATGATCAAACTTTGTTGGCAGTGGTGCTCCAGGAAACAGACGTAGGACGCCATTGTAAGTTCCAATGTAACGACGTACAAATTTCCTTAGGTATTCCTTCTGATTAACCGCACTGAACCAAGTTTCATCCATTAGTGAGGTTAGCATAGCTGTCACTACTGCATCTTCAGCAAATACTTCGCTTTCCTCAGAGAAGTGGGCTCTTCCTATCATCTGCTCAACATACTCTTTAACAGCTTTTGCGCTTTCCTCAGCCTCCAGGTATTTTGATGGATCTTCTAAAGCTTTCGTGGAGAATTTGATCACCGAGCGATCTAAGAGAAACAAAAAAACATTATCCTTCACACTTTTGATCGTTATTAAATAAATATCCAAAAAAATTAACATTCTTCGCGCTTCCGTCGAGTGCCATTGTATAAATTATAATTTTTATTACCCCCGAGGGGGGCTTATGTTAATAACCGAAACGTTGGGTTGTAAAGATTTTTAATGTTCACCATCCTCATTCACTTATCACTACTCACAATGACTTGGACAGTGCTGATGCTAGCAGTATGCAGGACGCCTGCCGCATGACCTCAGTTAAATGACCTTGCTCTCCGTGAGTTCACGTACCTCAGTGGATAGAGCGCCCGCCCGGTGTACGGGAGGTCATGCGTTCGATTCCTGTCAGGGACTCAGACCTTTTGTTTTCTTTGTCCCACGGTCGTGTCAGGTTGATAAGTTCACTCTTCAGATTTTTAATAGCTTTTTCTTAACCAATGTAACATTTTAATATTCATCATGGAACCACCTGGTTACAAATCAGTTTTTAAAAACTTCAAGTAGAAGTTTATAAGAAAGAGAAATGTTGTGCGAACAGGGGCCGCAAGCGAGTATTTCAATAGCTTTTACGAGTTAAACTTTTGAGAAAATGAAGACGTTATTGATGTTATTGTTGTTGTGCTTCCATAATTCGATAAAACAAAGAGAGAACGTTTTATATTTCTTTTACAAAAAACATCCGGGTTCGAAGTTCGTCAAAAATGTTCCGCTGAACGTATCTGGTGTTTAGAAATGTGGTAAAGCACGTTCTCACATGTTTGATATACTACGTACAAGAGGGTTCTAATAGTAAGTGTCTGGGGATCAAGAGCCGTTGTGTGACCATTTAAATGAAAACTATTGAGGAGTAGTTTCAATACAATGTACTTAAATGCTTCTCAATATTTTTGCGAATCAAGGATTTTGAACTTTCGTACCTTGGGAATTTCAGGAATAAACAAAATTGGTGGTAACTAGCCCTTTTTCCAAATACCTGCATAAGAGACAGTGTCTGTGTAATAACATGTCTTAGCTTCTGGTAGAACATCCATCCGGTGATAAGTAACAGGAGCATGTGACATTTGGTTTTCTAAATGGTGAGGAAACATTAATATCCTATTAAAATCAAAGTGTGTTTATATTTTAATTTAGAATTTCGTATTTACGTAGATCTATTTAGTGTGTTTGTCGGTATTAAAACTTGGCCCTGTTGAATTTGCTACGAATGCGTTCAGTTCCAAAAAGAAATACGAAAAATTAGCCGTAATGGGTCCCGTTGTCGAATTGGTCATTTCGCGTTGTTGATTTGCAGAGGACGGTAAAGAAATACCTCTGTAGAATTATATTGCACATGCACAGTCATTGCTCTGCTCATTAAACCTTTTCTTTGGTGACGTTCTCGTTGCCATTGCCGTCGTGTTTAGCGTAAGGTCCCTACTTTTTGTCTCCAGTCGGTACTTTGCCATTCCCACTAATGAAAGAAAAGGCATCGAGGCTAACACAAAATGGCGAGGTTACACAATGCCATACTTATTCCTTCCACTGAAATACATGTATTCATCGAAATAAAAGAGTCTATTTCACCAAATTACAATCATTATGCGATTAACGGATCTTAGGTACTGACCGATAAATAAAGATTTAAAACTGGCTTCAGTATCCCCTTTCTCCAAGGCAACACACACGATGTAGTCTTTCCTGTTCAGTTCTCCAACAGCAACAGGCATGCATGAATACTTGTAATCCACTTGTTCCATTTGAACTCCATCTCCCAGCATGCCACCTCTTGAAATAGAACGCTTTCTCCTCTTTAACGTCTTCTCCCTGAAAATGAAAAATCGTAAAGCAATGATTGCCCTACGTGTCGTCTCCATTGCATCAAAACTCATCAAATAGGTTTTGGTAATTTCAATTGATGGTAATTTCGTGGAATGATTTCTTACAACGTAGCAAGACAAGCCGTCTTTTCTGTTACGCGCTAGAAAAATGGAGCTGACATGGGTACGTCCTAGGAACAACTAGAGCAAGGACATGATCTGAAACTTCGTTCACGCAGGAGCGGCATGGAAACGAAATCTAAGGTCGATGCTAGTGAAGAGGACTGCCACCGTCCATTTAGAGCGTCCATTTAGACGGCGCCGAAACCTGCGCGCTTAGCCACGTGAGTTATTCGACAATGTTAGGTCGAACGTATAGATATCATGACGTGATTATGCACATGACGTGAACGTGCATATCTATCCATTCGGTCGGGAATTTGATTAAATCTCTGACTCACTTGCTCCCTCTATCTTATGTATTTAGGGAGAGTCATGTGAGTTCCGTGAATTCACGGTCCTCTCCTCAAATGCTAAAATATTTAAGACGTCCTCGAGTTTAGGAAGGATTCTGCCCGCAAGAAGAGTAGTTAGTACAGTCGAACCCCTACTAACGGCCATCTCCCCACAACGGCCACCTCCCTACAGCAGCCACTTATTTTCGTCCCAGTTGGGAGATTTGCTCTTAAATCAACCCCCCAACAAGGACCAGTAGACTCTACCCCTAGGATGACCGTTATGGAGAGGTCCGACTGTATCTAGGCATTTGCAGCCTTCAGACATAAGCCATGTTGTTTTTACCGTGTATAAATAATGATTAAAGATTAAAGATTTTACGCTTACTTTAATCGGCCTGTCCTCTGAACGTCTTCCAGCAATTTCTTGAATTCCTTTCCCTGTTCAAGTCCTAGAATATTTACCAAGTTGGGTTCTTCAGTGATAGCCTCTGGTGTGGGAAGGTTTGGGTGACTTAGCGTGAACCCAGTTTTGGCGTGAAACAGGAAAGCGTAGGATTTTGGACCAGCTTGGTTAAAGTACTGCACATCTGACAACATATCGGTCATGACAATATCTACTCCAGCCACTCCACGGAGTTTGTTGCCATGAAAGTAAGCACTTGCTGCTGTTACCATTAAACCTGAGTAAAATAAGATTGACTAATAACAACACCAAAAGCTAGTTCCGAAATAAGCGGCACTTCAATTTTTGTCAGATTATCCATGTCTTTTAATCTATCCCCGAGCTTCATTCAAAAGTAGCTGCTCAAAGATCAAATGATGGCCTGTTTTAGCTCCTACCTCGCACTCTCCGCCGAGCCCTTTTGGAGGGGAACTTGCTCTACTATAAGCAATGGAAGTGGGGAGGGAGGAGTGTGGAAGAAGCTGCATTGAAAATATAGTCAAAATAAGATGAGACAGAACGACAGTCGCAATAATTCATAAAACTCGATACTAAACTAGCTCTTATAACCTGCAAGATTCTAGGTCTCGTCTACAGGCACAAAGCCTGAGAGTGGGGTCTGAAGATGAGAATGAAGTTAAATAAATATCATTAGCCTTCATACCCAGTCCCCATGAGTCCAAATAAGGTGGAGAGAACACGACCTCGCTCTCTTTAGCTGGAGTGACTTCCATCAGGTAATCGAAGTACGCTTTGAGTTTGGAATAAGGATCCTTCTTGCCCGAGGCAGCCATTGATATTCCATTCTGTGAAACAGGTTATTTAAGGTGAGCATTCTCTAGGTTTATTATATCACTACCCTGTAACCGAGAGAGCTAATAAACAAAATCGATCAATCGACCAGTCAATCAAGCAGCAAAGCTAACTGACAGTCTAAAATTATCTAATGCATATAGGGGTTCAAAATAAGCCAAAGAGGGAACCATTTAATTAAGGTAAGATAGAAACAAGTTTTTCATCAATTTTTAGGCCATTGGTTTCAGTTTAGATGAGTTCCACGTTAGAGATTTATATACAATATCCTGATGAATTGAACATTTTGTTTTATCATTCATTGACCTTTATTTGACTTGCGGCCCGGGATGTTACTCCATCAAAGAGTCACCTCTAAAGCATTATATTCGCTAGTACTCATTTATACACCTAGGTTCGTGGTGAGAGGCAATGTGAAAGTAAGGTGTCTTGCCCAAAAACACGACACAGCGACCCAGGCAAGGGCTCGAACCCACACCACTCGATCCGAAGTTCAGTGTGCTAACCACTAGGCCACCGCACCTCCGTATACTGATAATATCGACTTGAATCTTATGTCTTTACCGTTTGCTGAGTCAGCGTCTTTATGAACTGTACACTGTTTTTGTCCTTTCCAAACAGCAATGCCAGTAATTTTAAGTTGGTGTCACTATACTCGTGTTTAAACAGTGCAAACTCCTTCGTTATCGCATGTAAACTTTTATCTTCAGCCTCTCTTGGCTTAGGTGCACCGTCCGTGAGCAAGAGAATCATGGAGGGCCTGGCAGCGATTGACTTCGTTGAAGACTTCAAGGTGTTTTTTAGGATCTCGAACGCTTTCTTGAACGCTCTGATGAATCGAGTACCACCTGTAGGGAGGTCAAGTTAAGATGTTTATCCTTACAATAATGTTTCCTTTCATTTAAGCCCAACCCTGAGGAATACTATTAAAGGTAAAGTCTACAGGCGAGCCAAGTGGCGCATCAGGCCGGAGCATATCCCGGTTTCAGTAGCATGAAGCGACCAGGAGTATTTCTACTCCCTCCTGGATGGATGCAAGTCCATCGGAGAGTTACCCCAAAGCATTAATTAAATTCGTCGGTACCAAGTTATACACCTGAGTGAAGAGAGGCACTGTGAGAGTAACGTGTCTTGCTCAAGAACACAACACAATGTCCCCAGTCCGGGCTCGAACCCGGACCGTTCGCTCCGGAGTAGAGCGCACTAAGCATGAGACCACCGTGCCTCCCACAACTATTTAAGACACATTCTTAATTGAGACAAATAAGCAGGCTTGCTATCACTTTGGTGAACTTGTATTATGTTTTAAATGGCATCTGGACCGTGCATTAAAAGAAGCAAATATCAAGCGGTTTACTCTGCCTTGAAAGTGACGAGGTAAGCTGTTGGAAGGCAAACCACTTTCTAAATGATATCCTTAGTTGATAAAGGTAGAATTGTGTACTGCAACTAATTTGGAAAAAAGAATTTACAAACGTTTGGCCCTCGTCAAAACAGAAATTTTCAATAACCTAGTAGAAGTGCCTGATCGAGGTCTCGAAGATGGGCTGCCGCTCAAAACTTGTGCTACGTGGTTTACTTCCGGTGCGTTTTGTGGTCCTCGACGAGAAACATTTGATAAAAAGCGTCTAGCTATAATGAATATGCTTGGTAACTATTATCGCCAAGGAAGACAATCTTATAGAATAAATGTGGCGTTCAAACCTGACGGCTGAGCGCGGTCAATGAAAGATTTCAAGTAATTAACGGTATATGTTCCAGCCACTGCCATTGTCGTGTTGTAACATTCATCTGTGTTGTGGTCCGCACGTAAAAAGATTGAAGAGTTGAAAAGGATAACTGAAACCTACGAAAAAATTGTAACAGTTTCAAGGATGAACACAATAAGCAGGGCGCAGCAGTTCAGCTAATCGGAAAATGGAAAACTAAAAATAGTACTGGGCTTAAATTGAAAAAATAATTTTGTAAGCCAATGGTGATAAAAACGTTGAGTGAGAGAAAACGAGTTTGATCGGTTAACAGTCATTTTCAAAGGAAAGATTCTGCACTAGGATTCGCTTTCAGAGTGAGGCAACAGGAGGGTCAGCAGGAGTTCGATCGATCGAATGACTAACTGCCTGACTGCCTGACTGCCTGACTGTCTGACTGTCTGTCTAGCCTGACTGTCTGACTGTCTATCTAGCCTGACTGCCTGACTGTCTGATAGTCTAGCCTGACTGTCTGACTGTCTGACTGCCTGATAGTCTAGCCTGACTGTCTGACTGCCTGACTGTCCAACTTTCCGACTGTCCGACTGTCTGACTGACTTACTGGCCGACCGTCAATCGATAGATCGATTGATGGTTTGATTGATTGACGGGTTAATTTAATTAATCCAAGTAAGTAGGGAAAATAAGGAAGACATGAACAACTATAGGCTTGATTTCCGCTGCTCTCTCGTGTCTGGCTGGTAATCGAGCCTGTGATAAACTTGACTCCTAATTACGGATTCCACTTGTATACCTTGTCTTGAGGGTTAAGCGTACTGACAACAATTTTAGCTGTATCTTTAGCAGCATCGAGGTTGTTATTGTAACCCATTGATGAACTGGAATCCAGAAGAATCACTATGTTCTTCGGTGACGGTGTTGCTGTGGTAACGTACCATGGTCTTATTCTGTTGTCATACGCACCACACTTTGAAATCCTTGAAGAAGGATACATAGTGCTGATTCCTTCAATGGATCCAAAATACTGCCAATTCACCTTGAAATAAAAACGTAAGAGAGGCGGCTGGGAGTATTGCTATTACCTCTAGACGACATCAGGTTAGTCTAACACCAGGTTATACTCCTCAATTTTCTAGCTGTCGGTTTGCCCCAACGATTGGTAAGAATCTATTCATAATCCAAGATTGCCGATCGCTCTAAAGGAAAGGAGGAGCGAAGACTGGACTCGAAAGAGCCGGGGCTTAAATTGATCGTTTGTATACTTTTGTGTAGAAGGGGTCAACGTGAGAGTCTGAAGCTTTTCTGTCCAAGAACACAACACGACGAATATGGCTAGGACTAGAACCCAGACCGCGCAATCTCAGTTAAGATCAACGGGCCGGACTAAACGTTAAGCCACCACGCTACAAACCAAAAGAAAAAGAGAACATTTGTTTCAGTGAGATGGAAGTTTTACAACGCTTTGCTTTTGAACCTAGCTTTTTGTTGCTTTTCTCTTACCTTAAGTTTGTTGCTATCAAAAACAGTTCGAACGTTTGTAAAGTCAATGTCATCTTCCTTCAAATACGCTGGAGCTTTCATTTGACAGAACAAAGCGTCTGTAACTTTATCTCTGTACCTTGGGTCATAAGTGACTTTGTACTCTGAGGGGAGCTCACAGCAACGGTGGTATGCTAGAAGAGTAAAATAATTATCATTATCTCTCCTCTTATACTGGCTGTGAGCTTCTTGCTAATATGCAAAGCGGTTGTTAACTTAGTGTCGAAGGTTAACAACCGCTTTGCAAGCTCATTTTCCTTCAATGAACGCTGTAGTCGGTTCAAAAAATTTGCGCTCTTGACTCAGCGTATCAGCAATAATATTAAAACCAATAAGGGGCGTTTGGCTTATTTTAGCTAACTGTAATTATTTTGTTTTGTTTTTTTTCGCACGGCACCCTCGACCGATTACCTCACTTGTAAAAACTTAAATTTCGGTCAGTTCTTACGTTGTTTTCGTGGTTTTCTGTTGTTAAAAGCTTTCGAGACTGCGTTAGAGATCTGTCGCACTGCGTCGATTTTCTGTTCCAGGCGAGCTGTCAGTTTGTCAGCAAGGTCTCTCACAATCTCGTCACCATGTAGATCACTTCCTTCTTTGATCCACTCTTCGATACTTTTCTGTTAATAGGAAAGCAAGTATCCATCATGAGGAACTTAGTACTTGACTTAATGTACTTTGTCATTCAAAATATACAATTTAAAAATCGCCGGGACTAAAAAAAAAATTGGTTTTAAAACCGACCAGCCAATACAGTATTCGCATTTTGCGATATGCCCCGTTTTCAAATCTCGTGCAAACTTGCTGAATTAAAATACGTTGTACTTTGCGCGCACTTTAAGAGCAAATTCCTCTAACGGTCACCTATACCTATGCAGGATAGAAAAATTCGATTTTCTGAAACTTTGTCAGGAAGAAGGTTTTTACTAACTTATTTCAAAACTGTACCTTTGAGGTTGTTTGGATTTTTATTTTCTTGTGGAGACGGCCTTACGTATTTTGCCCCGAAAAGAGCACTTGCCCAAAAATTACACTTTTTGTGTAGTTTTCTCAAAGATTACTCTCGATGCTGATTTATTATATGATATTTCGTTGCGTGCGTTGTCTTTAGTCGCCAACCGCTAAATGTATGATTTCTTATTCAAAATAAACGTCTGCTTAAGATGCTCGTTTGCAGCCTGATACCTATTTTCAATTACAGAAACTGATCTTAGAGACCTAAAGGCTATTTTAGTGGAGATAAGACCCACAGGCAAACATTTCTGGATCAATGTTGGAGATAGTGATTGCGGCGTGAAAAGTCAAAATGTCAGGCGATTAGCTCAAGTGCCTAGTCTTCGAGACGCTCTCAATTTTTTTGGTTTTATTTACTCAAGCTAGATGTGCGATAAAAACTTAGCTTAAGGGATTCTTTTAACCAGAAAAATAGTTTGGGCAGGTAAATCCATGTACCAGATTGACTCTCTGGTCCACGAAATTTACCTAAATTTTGACGTGACGCAACATCATCGAAGCGTATAATTTTAAAAATTTGCTAAAAATTTAGGTTTGAATTTCATGTTGATCTGACAACGTTAAAT